TTTCAAATACCACAAGTATGAAATTCCAGGCAGTTATCATTACATAATTATAAAATTTTCTCATTAATTATGCAAATTAAGTCATTATTAACATAATCAACATCTTCCTGTGTTTCTCTCGTTGTCAATTACCAATGTCACAAGCTTCAATTGTCCTATCATGGAATGCAGCTGATTTATAGAATTTCCCCATAAATTATGCAAATTACATCCATATTTGCATAATTGTCACATCATTATATTAAACATCGCGTAAGCTACCTACATACCAAAAATCACGACGATCCGTCAATCGGTTCTTGAGTTATCCCCTTTTGAATATTTTCAAGAATATATCCCTGCAGTTCTAGAGCAAGCCGCTAGGGGGCCCAAACTCACGTCACTTCTTCCCCAGCACAAGAGGTACCTACCATCCAAATTTCGTCACTCTAGCATGTCTACATCATGAGATATCAAAACCGGAAGTTCAGCTGCAGTACCATAACAAGCCGCTAGGGGACCCAAAATCTAATCATTTTGAGGTCTCATCAAAACCTACCCACCTACCAAGTATCAAGACAATCCATCAAGGCCTTCTCAAGTTATCGTGTTTACAGACAGACAGACAGACAGACACACACACACACACACACATACACGAACGCCCCTGAAAAAATAACCTTCTTGGCGAAGGTAATTACAAAAATGCAACATAAACTAGAATGGCCACATTTGTGAGCCGATACAGCATTCTTGACTCCATCTCTCTTCTCATGCAAAAATGGACTGTTCATATCAACCATTTCAGGTCAAACTAGAGTTCCCCGATCTCATACCTTCGCCAAATGATGTTAAACTTTATGACTGACAAATTATAGATTAGATTATTCCCCCCTGATTTAAGAAATAGGAACCTAATTTTCATGAATTATATCATTTTATCATAATCTCAACCAAAAGACAGTCTTATATTAACAAACAATGCATTCTAGCATTTCCTAATAAATTATGCAAATGAGGTCCTGATTTGAATAAATTATGTTTAATGATGTTCACGTCAACTAAACTTTCAAATACCACAAGTATGAAATTCCAGGCAGTTATCATTACATAATTATAAAATTCTCATTAATTATGCAAATTAAGTCATTATTAACATAATCAATATCTTCCTGTGTTTCTCTCATTGTCAATTACCAATGTCACAGGCTTCAATTGTCCTATCATGGAATGCAGCTGATTTATAGAATTTCCCCATAAATTATGCAAATTACATCCATATTTGCATAATTGTCACATCATTATATTAAACATCGCGTAAGCTACCTACATACCAAAAATCACGACGATCCGTCAATCGGTTCTTGAGTTATCCCCTTTTGAATATTTTCAAGAATATATCCCTGCAGTTCTAGAGCAAGCCGCTAGGGGGCCCAAACTCACGTCACTTCTTCCCCAGCACAAGAGGTACCTACCATCCAAATTTCGTCACTCTAGCATGTCTACATCATGAGATATCAAAACCGGAAGTTCAGCTGCAGTACCATAACAAGCCGCTAGGGGACCCAAAATCTAATCATTTTGAGGTCTCATCAAAACCTACCCACCTACCAAGTATCAAGACAATCCATCAAGGCCTTCTCAAGTTATCGTGTTTACAGACAGACAGACAGACACACACACACACACACACATACACGAACGCCCCTGAAAACATAACCTTCTTGGCGAAGGTAAAAACACACAAGTCTGTGTGACCTGGAAAATTCTCTGCAACTTTGTTCAACAGCTCCCCCTTTGACTATTGTTGGTATTGCACAAAAGTATTGCCCAGGGATGCAAGGAATTGTGAGTGTTGATTTATGTTGATTCCTGCTGAATATTGGGATCAGTGATGCTAACACCAACTGAGAACAATGTTTGGTTGTGAAAGAATCTTTCTCTATACTCTTCAGTTTCAGCTATCAAATCCATCCTTCTTTGCCATGCAAATTGACTCTTGTGTATCATTTAGCCTTTTATTTTAGGTAACCACTGAAATTCTTTTATATCAAACAATGATGTACATGTGTATAGAATGGTGATACAATTAATTGTTTCAGATGAGGACGAGTGTGCAGTGAATAATGGGGGCTGTGTACACGAGTGCACCAACACGCAAGGGAACTACCGCTGTGACTGCTACGATGGATTCATGTTGCACGACGATGGACACAACTGTATCGGTCAGTGGGACATTTCATGAGAAGATGGTCATCATGACATCATGTGGTTATTTAGATCCCATTTGAAACACCCTTTTATACAGAAGAGACACAGTACCAGTACTGAGAAAGCTTACTGTAACTTTGCTTTAAAGTAAGGATTAGGTATTTAAATCTACTGAGCTGTACATACGTGTAGGTTCCCACTTTCAGGAGAACCACATCTTGAGCATGTTAAACTTAAAGAACCTGCAACACTTCTCAGAAAGAGTAGAAGTACACTCAGCCATGTGGTGGTTCTGACCAATTAGTCTATAATTGAACAATGTATTGGTCAACTCTACCTCAGGCATAAAAATGTGTCTGACGCAGAGTTAGAGGTAAGAAATGTTGTTACTGCTGGCAGGTAATTCGACACAAAATGTACAATGTCCACACACAACAGGGTTTTGTGGAGAACCCAAGCAGGCTATTTAGCTGACCCAATAGTCACTCAAGGAAAGCAAATGAGTCCCAGGCCCCCCAGTCTCCTATTTTCCACATTCTGCATGCTGTCAACACCTTTCAGCCCTACCCTTTCTATGCAGCATAGTCTGGAGCCCAGGAGAACTGGAGGGAAGGGTTGTATTGCTGGAGAGGTCCCAAGTTCTCACAGTTGTATGTTGGCTGCTTGCCTTCAGAGGCAGATGGCTTGTCAATCATACTCAGTAAGCACTTCTCG